ACAGAGATCTTGGAGGTCCCTGCCACGCCACTATTTTTTATCTATTTTATCTATTATATTCTTGCACTTGCCTGTTTATATTGCTTATACAAATGTAATGCTTTTTCGCTCCTTTTACCACTCTCATTCTTAGCGATGGCCTCGAGAGAGGTGAGATATTGTCCAATTTTATCAGGGAATGATTGTGCTTCACACTCATCCAAAAAACTTTTAATAGTCCATTCGGAAGACTTGCGATCGAAATACTCGTGCACCCACTTTTCCGACATGTGCTGAAAGGTATAAGTCTATTTGGTTGAGTATTGTGTTTGTCAAAAGGAAGAACTTATTGTAAGTTAAAAGAAAAGCGAGATTACTATATATACACTATCACACGGAGAATTTTAGTCATGTGCGCATTATATCTGTGTAACGAACAAAATTATGTACGAAAATTTTATTAATTTTTCAGATAAATAGCTAATCAGAAAATGATAGAGGTAGCGAATGAAATATATGATGCTATCAAAGAGGGAGGGAGAACGCGGATCCTAGGCCATTTAATGCGAATCCCAGCATCATGTTATTTCTCTGCTCTCTCACATTTACGAAAAACGTCTACAGCTAATTTATTTCTATCGCTAATATTACTAACTATGAGATTCTCACCCCCGCCTACACTAGATTTTTGAAATAAATAATCCCACCCATATTTACTGAATTTTTGTCTATCTATATCTCTCCCAAACACACAGACTATATGAAACATTATTCCTCGAAAGAGAACTTCTCTGAGATTAAGAAATTTCGAACCTATAGTATAATTACGGAAGTATTAGCAACTGAGGTAAAAAAAAAATAATGCAATAACGATTTACACTTACCGTCACGATTCATTTTCACATAATTCCATTCCGCCTCATCGTTATCGCCGGTACGATACTACACAAAGTTTTAAAAATTCGGTGCTTATATAAGATAAATTGATGCACTGCGCCAGACTTTTGCTGTGCCGTCGCATGTGATGTGAGTAATTTCACTGCGTCCATTGTACGCGTGATGATGGTCAGTGGCGAAGATCAAAATGCCGATATAAGAAAGGTAATATGTCCGTTTTATTTTGGGACATCTATAGAGCCAGAAAAATTGATTAACATTGTGATGATGTTCTTTTAGAAGCTAGTCGAGCAATAAAACAAGCCTACCCTAATATAACTTTGCGGAAAAATGCGAGTTCGTTTTGATTGTTGATTTCGATGATGTTAATAATGGTAAGTTTTATTTTTCGTTTGATTTTTGCTTTAGTTGCGCAAGACAGATAAAAGAGTTCACTAACCGGGACATCACCTTTTTATATGATTCACAGGATCGATTTTAGAATACGCTTTTAGAGCAAATTACGTTAATATGATTACATCACGAAAATCTGATCATCGGCCTCTCCTTAATTTAACAATAGTATATAAAGATCATCAGGGAGAGTTTTTATTAATAAATTTCATTGAGTATATGCGGGAAGGTTCGAGAACAAATGCTATACTACGGTTATAAATAAGTTATAACTGATACTGCGATCTATACAAAAATAAATTACAGCTAATCTGTGATATATGACAAGGATTATCCTATACGTTGTACTAATACAATATCCTATCATTTGTGCCTTCGTGATCCTCAAAAAATCCCAGAACCAAAAATACCATTAGCTTGCAATCCTGAGTCGCTTCATTGAAATGCATAGTCACAACTGGAGTACTCCCACCTTAATTGCGCAATGTTTCGTACGAATTTTTTTTTCACCGATACTTTTTTCATATTGTGATACGATACCCTATTTTTGTATTTGCAAATGAATGCATATCATACTGCGCATTTCAGGTGATCAACCACATGACAGGTCTAAGCCACAATCGCGAACCTGAATTTATTGCTTGAAGTGAAACAAGTAAGACAATATTCCAACTTATCTTGGGAATACAACTTTGCTAATTCAGGATCATAAGGGAGCTGATTCCCATTTTCGCAGTACCATGAGCCATGTAATCCATAATTCCCATGTTTTCCATCACAAATAGGGCATGGTGAGTTCCATGGCTGAAGAGATGTAAAATTATAATTATCAATCCCTCTGAAACTATTTCCGAATTTCAAGTATGGGAAGTGCTCTAAGATGGATTTGATAATGAATTCTGGATCAGGTGGAATGCTTAGTCAGTATGCATCAGAATTACTCAAGCTCTTAATGGATAAAATGAAAAGAGATAAAAGTTATCAGCTTCTTAAAGAAAGATATAGTTTTAGCAAAGAGCAGATATCCATACTAGTCTCCTCTTAAAGAACTGATTGAGCTAAAATATAAGTAACTTCTTAAAAAAAGGAGTCAGAAACAGAAGTAAATATATGCTAAGTATCTGATATTATTCCAGAAGGAGAGACTATTAAAGAAATGGCTCAGCTTATTATATGAGATAATCTTAGCAAAAAAGAAGTGGAAGCAATATGTAAAGCCTTAGTCAAAACAGCTACTGATGCTATTATTAGTTTATCACGTATATCTAGAGCTCAAAGGGAATTGTGAAATCTCAATGCTTCAGAAGAAATAACCTCTGCCATGTTTGATTGAGAAATAACTTGTACATCTAACAAAATTCAAAAGTTGTGAAGTGATCAATATGAAAATGAAGCAATTGATTTCTCAAATCACTTATTATTAGAATTGGTTAAAGAGAGACTTGATTCATATGATGTAACTAATACATCTAAAAAACTGGCTCTAGTTGATGTTATGATCATGTTATGCATTCGTCTTTCTGAAATCAAAAACTTGTGCATATCTAATGGAGGTGTAACTGGTTATGCAAAAAATTGGGGTCAACAAGACATTCTTCAGATCTTTAGATCATTGGAAATGAACGAGAAGTAGACAAAAGAATTACTTACATGAATTCAGGAAGCAATATCTTCTAGAAAATTAGGAAACACAGAAAGTTCTGAAGCTAAATTCTTAAGCTACTTCTTCCTAGAAATTTGTGCAATTTAGAATGTACATTTGCATACGAAGTACATAGAATGAAAAATTCATCAAAAGCTTTGACCATTGCCAATTAGACACTTCAGCACTGTCCTAATAACAATGTGTCTCCAACTAAGAAATATACTATAGTAAATATGCGAGCTTGCAGAATGCCTTACAATCAAGCAAAATCATTTATGTTCTCTGATGAAAACTAATTATATATATGGGTTAGATATCATTTATTAATTTTATTTTTTCGTTTACCTTAGATATAACGTATATAATATATCACGAAAATGGTAACTGAATAATAACATTCATCTAATAGTATAGCTATCGAGCAGAAAGTTATCAGACGTACAGAGAAAATAGCCAAATTACTTAGACCTGAACAAAATACAAATATGTATATTGCGCTTTCCTATAAAAATAGGGTACTAAAGAAACAATTGAAAGATTTTCATTCCCAATCTAATACTTTAGAAAGGAGGGTAAAAAAATTGGAGAAAGATGTGAAATCTTTAAAAATTGAATTAAAAGATCTAGACGAATATGTAGATAGGAAGACTATGGTTGACTTAATACAAGAAATAGCTTTCTCGATAAATATTAAAAAATGTAAGGGTCTCTCCTATTCATTTGAGTTTCTGAAGATTCTGATTCAGTTGAGATAATTGAGAGATCCCAAAGGTATCAGATAGAAGAGATTATTTCTCATAAGCAACGAAGAAAGGCATGACTGAGAAAAGTTAAGCGGTTTGTGGTTTGAAGTAGACTGAGCTGAATGGGTTCGAAGAATTAGGCACTTTGCATGATATCTTACCACGTAATTAAAAGCGTTAAATAGAGATTTATTTTTCGATTAAAAATTTTTCTAACTATATAAAATGCATACAACTAATTTACTTGATCAGCTTACGCCTAAACTAATACTATTCATTCTAAAGCATCTTCCAGCACAGAATCTAAAAAATATTGCAGTATAAATAATATATGAGAAAGTAAGGCAAATCTTGAATGGTTTAAAAGAAAGACTTTTTTCGATTTTCAGACTGGATCATTAGTTCAAGGCAATTATATGGTAAAGGAATTTTATTTGAAGCTGAAAGTGTGTAACATTCGCATAGGTTATCCTAAAGAAATTCTTAAAAATATATTTTTCAGAGGATTATCACCTGAGAATATGTTTAAAGTTCTTATATATGGTTTATAGGAGCTTATATTAGATGAGATAATGTTAAGGTTTAGTTCAGAACAGTGATCATGCGAAGCATCTTTAATCTTGCTTGAAAGATTTTTTTGTTTAAAGATACAGATATATTATTTATGATGCATACAGGTGTTTTTAATATACAGGACATATTTTACATTTCTTATCAATAAATAAATCTCTCTATCCCACTCTATTTGTTTGCTGATTTTGGTACAGATGCGGTACTAGCAAGTAGGCTAGGATCAAAAAAATATATCAAAAAATAATATGTATCACAGGTTACGTCCTGATCTTTGTATTTATTTTTCTCATGTATTAATAAAAAATTTTTTTCTTGGCGAAAGTGGTTTGCGTTCCAAATTGGAACGGACACATGATCTTTTAGAGAAAATCATGATAACACATATCACTTGATTTTTGATCATGCCATGAAATTAATCACATGTCAAAGAGTAAGTTTCTTTAGATGTGAGGCCGAGCAGAATATTATAAAAAAATAAAATATAAAGGTAAAAAGTATTTATTTTTTATTTCTGCTGATTTTTTGCAATTGATCTAAAATATTAATATCTCAGAATATTTGAGCAGAAATTGGCTAATCTTCTCGCTAATAAGGCTTTCAACAACAAATATAGGAAATGGAATATTTGTGTTAATTATAGAATCATATTAGTTAAGTTTTGATGCATGAATATTATACTGCACTGCAAATTTTTTAATGTATTTACAATACAGTATATGAAATATTGCTTAAAAGGGATTTATACAACCAAATTTGAATCAATATTTATATTATGACATAACAGAATAATGCAATATTTTAATACAAGAAAATAGAAACATAAACTCATGCAGAACCCCTACTACAGCCCTACTGCGACCTCTTCCCCTACTATTCACTTTCTTTCCTTCTTCTCTTGATATTTTTGGCAGAAATTCTGCAAACGTCACAGCTTTTCGCCATCCTGGTGTGAATCTGGTTGCATACTTGGGTTTGGACATCGTTATGTTTTCTTGTCCTTCCTTTCTAAACTCTATAAACCTTTTGATCTTTTCAACAAGATTGTATCGTAAACATAAAAGTGTTCTAATAAGTCTAGGTACATGATTTAGATCAGTATCAGAAGTTGGGATCATAAGAACTGGGATTGTAAATGATGCAAAAAAATATAAATCAGGACCTAACTGGCCAATCTCAATTTTATCAGCTACAAACAAAAACAAGAATATATTAGATCAAAATCACCTGCAGGTTCAGAATTATTAAAAAAAAATTACCAAATGCTTAGGCTAAGAAAATCCCAAGTGTTTCGCACACTTTCCATTTTGGTAACTCAGTACTCAACATAAATTTATTAAGACCAAAGACACCCTCGCTCAGTAATTTACGCCTATTATAATTAATCTTGTCTGGATCTGGATTATTAGGCCCTTCTGACACTTCAAGCAAAAACAATGGAATTTGCTTGAGTCGTTCGAAAAGCTCTAATACTCCATCAACTTTATAGCTATTATCTTGAATATTGATTTTTGTAGATATGTCTCTTTCATATGAAAAATACTGCGACGAGTCAATAAAACAAAAAGTGATAAAAAAAATGTATGCTAATACATGGGCTGTCCATGTCCGCTCAGGAGTCTTATTCATAGTACCATTCATTTTTGTGATGATGTCAAAATGGTTGGAAATATTCTTAATAATAAATAAATCTGGCATTTTGGGTTGTTCAGTATAGGAAAGAAGTTGGATAAATAGTGATATTTTTCGGGTACACTACCCAATTGATGTACTATTTTCTCTACTTCACTGTTTTCTTCTATAGTCTCATTATTACCTTCGTCTACAAGATAACTATTAACTGCTTTGTCTCCCTTCGATTGAGCAGGTACAATATCATCAAAAAATGCTAAATACTCATGCGTCTTTTCACTTATGAATTTTTCTTCATCTTCCAATATTAACCTTTCATACAACGAATCCAATTCACCCTCTCCAAATGACTAAATACCTGTTTCTGTGTGTCTCCATCTCCTAAATCAAGTACATAAAAATTTGACTCAGAATCTCTAGTTTTCCAGATAGTTTTAAGTTTGTTATAGTATGATGGAAAAGTTACTTTTCCGAAAATATCAGAGGCATTGATCACAGAATTCACCAAATATTTATTCACAACATCAAGTTCTCTTTCTTGTGTATCACACGCACGTTTTTTTCAGTAGAAAAGACGTAGTAGGTTTTTGAACTATCTCTCTTAGTTCTGACGTAATATTTTCACGTATTCACTCAAAAACTTCCAACACATCACCTTCTACTCTTTCAGCAAACCCTTCTTTCTGGAAATATCTTCAAGCTTTTTCAACATTTTCGAGAAAAGTATTTTTTCGATTGGGACCCTTTACAAACTTGCTCAACTCTTGGCAGTAATTACAAACTCTGATTGGTGTGATTACTTGTTCTGATATTAAATTAAGACTTGTGGTATAAGCCGTGAATGCGTCGTTCAGTTTATTAAGAAGATCCAGTATGGAATACAAAAATTCAGGTATTTCATCATACCGTTTTACTGGAAGATCAATAAAATGAGTTGCAATTTCTTTAGGAAGATTTTCGTCGAAAAGAAGGCACCAATCTGCCAACTCCAGAGGATATGAAGGTTGTAACATTCTCCGTTTATAGTAAAGGGTAGGGATGTTAAAGTCTGTGATTGAATGGTTCAGACCATAGTCTGATCATAGAACCGGTTTCATTTCGGTTATAGGGTCAAGATCGAACTGAAATCGAGTCAAATCGAACTGATTTTTAGACCAGTTTACATAATCAATCTAATTTAAATAGATAATGTGCGTAACTAAAAAATGCGTTGATCATTGATCATTTTAACTAAAATTACATTCGTTTTGCATTATTATTTGTATTGCAAATATGTCTGGTGAT